CCAAAACTATCCCAACCCAATTTCACTTAATTAAATTTATTGACAATTAACATAAACTTTTAATTATTGATTGGAGTATTGAATAAAAAAGACAAACAATCACTCTTGGAACCACCTTTCCTCCCTCTTGTCCAGGGCCAAATTCAATCCAGGGCCTCTCTCCCCACTCTTTCTAGTCTCATCTCCCCATGTTTTCATGCCACGTATCACTCATTCCTTCCTAATCCCTTCACAGGAGTCTGGAGTTTCTGCCTGATGCTCCTTGCTTCTTACTCATTTGCCTTGGCTGCTCCCGGTTTTGTATCGTTCCTTTACTTCCTGTGAGTTCCCCGCAGAAGCGATGAGGTGCAAGATGACCCAAAATAGCCCAGTAGGGTAAAAAGCCTTCAATTGCTCTGAACTTAAAATATTTAATTGCTATAATCTTGGTATAGGAGTTTAGGAAGGAGAGGGCAGGCTACTTGCTTGTAGGCAAACTGTTTGTAGGTGAGTTAATGCAGTGAGACTCCATGAACTTATCTTCGGGCTTTCTCCTCCTCTCATCTTCCAGTGTCTGCAGATTTCTGCCAGTTTTGGCTATTCTCTTTCGAAAGAGAAAGTCCATGGCCAGCACGGCCACACTTCATTGCTCTTTGTGTCATGTTTGCAGCCACCAGAAGGAACCAGCCCAAAAGTTCTCAGCAGGTCCCACCCCAAATAAGGGGATGATCTGAGCGGCTTCCTGTTCTGCTGCTCCAGCATTCCTCTCCCTAGATTCCCTGATGATCACCCGTGGTTCCTAGTGACCTCCAACCTCAGGGATTTCAAGGATAACTAAGTTAGGTCCAGAAAATTACCACCAATTTACAAAGCATTCACTGAAACTCATGAAAGCTTCAAGATCCTAAGGTAAAAGATGGGATATATATACAGTCCTGTGAACCTACACAGTTATTTCTTGCCCTAGAAGGTTTGCAAAGACACTACTTTCAGACTCAGAGAGCTTTTTGCAGACAGAACTAAGCCCCCCTGAGAACATGTGTGCGCTTGCCAGGAGAACTAGTAGCCATGACCAGTGAAGCATTTGTCCGTGCAAAAAGAAATCTGCTCCTTCTGCAGACCCCCCTCTATTAAAGACCTATTTGACAGTGCTTAACACTAAGACCCATGCAAACCAAGCACCAGGGAGAGGAATATGTTGTTTACAAAGTGCTGCTATTCATGGCTATTCCCTGGGCCAGGCAGCAGTTGCTGCTCTGTGGTGATTATTATCTCCAAAGTCTCAGCTGTGATTGATTAGGGTGAAGAGATTCCTTAAGAGCTATAAATATTCCACGCAGTCCTTTTTTATAGGTTGTGTGAGAAAAGCAGTATGTGAAGGTGATGTAGGTACAACCAGGGTCACATCCAAAGCATCAGGTGAGCAGGGTGGATTTTTTTTTTCTCCATTTAACATGATCTAGGGGAGTATTTTTAAATGCAGTAGCAATCTTTGAGCCAATTTCAATCACCTCGAGTTGAGGTGACTATAAAACAGTCTATCCAGAACAGTTACTGTGCAGATCTGCTAATACAGCTAAGTGGACTTTATCTCTTACTGGGTTAATAATCTACCTTATTACCTGCTTCACTATGCATTAAGTGGATACTGTGGTGGAGGGCTGCCAGTTTATACACCTGCAACCTCAATTTACCTCCTTGCATGAGTTAATTACAGCAGTGCTAATTGTTTGATTGCAAGGTGTTCCTTGTTTAAATCAACTTTACCTCCTTGCATGAGTTAATTACAGCAGTGCTAATTGTTTGATTGCAAGGTGTTCCTTGTTTAAATCAACCTCAGACAAGCTGTAGACACCAAAGCGCAGCATCTGGCAACCCACTTGTCTGTGAAGACTTGCAATTGCCTGATCATGACTCTAGTCCTGCCCTTTTCTCCAGCACAAACCTGAAGAGGATGGCAATCACAGCAAGGAAGGTAATATCCTGCCCTTTCTGTTAGGGAGAAGGACAGGATAAGTCATGAGCTCTGAGTGAGGTATAGCCTTGACACTAGGAAAAAAACCTTTGGAAGAGGTGCTTTGGGTATAGGGCTTTTTCAGTGGGAGAGCAGGCAATGCATGTATCTGTCAGAGAAAACTTTTGATCTTATACTGTGGAGGGGATATGACCTGCATGATTGTTCCAGGTCTCTTAAAACCCAAAGTTCAGGAGATCTTGGTTAATGTGGTTTATTCATGTGACCAGTCTCCAAAGTCTTTATTGGAATAAATCTCATTAGTAATCTTGCACTATGTGAATTCTTGGCATAGGCTTCTATGTGTAAGTCTGCATAGGACAAGTGGCAGCTGCCTGGATCTCCTTAGTGCAAATTTTGAGGATCAATGTACTAAGCTTTGGGGTAGGAGAACATTCCAATACACAGATGTCCTGCTCCCAGCTCTCCCAAAGCGAGAAATAAATGATCAGGACCTCTCTAACAGGGCTCCAGTGACGGTGGGTGCAGAGGTCACAGCAGATAGGACTTGGCCATCATAGCTATATCCATTGGGACCACACAAGGGCACCATGTTGCACCTTAGGGATGTTCATGGGACATCTTTACTGCATGTTTTGGAGTGGACAGGATCATGCCTCCTGCTTTCCCTCCATGGCTAAAAGTAGATGAGCATCTGGGTCAATTTGCTGGGTGATCCACGACATGCTACATGAAGCAGGACCAGGAGATGGCAGTTGCTCTGGCCAGATCCATCTGTATGCGATAGCAAAAGGTGTTCATTGATTTTTTTGTGGGTTATTTGTTCTCACTGGCCCGGGCTGTGTGGCTGACAGACTCATCATGGCTAAGAACCATGGAAAAGTCTATCAAATGCGATAAATTTAATGACTGTTACTTTGAAGCAGAGGAGCAGAGCTGATGATAAAACAGTGAGGAAAGAGTTAAAAGCTCAACATCAATGAGTGCCAGTAGCTTCCTACTCAGGGAAGCTTGTCTCAGCATGCTCGCAACCAAACACTTTAGCTCCTTTTGCACTGTGTTTACTCGCATCTCGCATTCCTTGAGGGTATTTTATGCTGTTTTACAGTTGTTAAAAATAGTAGTAAGTTTGCAACAAAAAACTTATGAGGGACAAGTAGTTAAAAAAGGGTGACATTAACTACCACAGCTGAGCAAAACTTGTAATTTTACAAGCTCCTGAGCTACTTAACTGCACAAGATAAAACCACTGTGCCAGTGAAGTATCCTGAAAAAGCTCAGAAGTGCATGAACAGACCTGAAAGTGCTGCTCTCCTTGCAGGTCTAATGTGCTGCTCCCACTCATCTGTTGCATGCATACCTCTAAAATAGCCCAGATCATAGCAATCTTCCTGACACGGCATTTCTATGTAGCTGAAGCTGAGATGAAGGAACAGCCCCCCTGAGTACGATGCTCCGTGCAGAGGTGGGCCATGGCACTAGGGGCACATCCTGGTTTCGGGGTCCTGAGGTGCTATGTTAGGTGCTGCAGTTGCAAGGCATGTGAAGAAGGGGAAGCATGAAATGCAGAGGAAACAGGATGTAAAACAGATGAAACCACAAGTGTGGTGGGGACATCTTTGCACAATCCAGATAGGGTTGGTGAGAGAGACTGAGCTAAAGGCAACTGTTTGCTTTCTTGGGACTTTCTGTGTACCCAGGAAATCAGACCCCGTGAAGGGAACAGGACTGGATTGTGCATCAAAAGAGCAAACTAAGGCATCAGGCCACAGGCATAGCTGAGTTCAACGCCTGTTGTATAGCATCTTTTAACAACCTTGATAGTTCATTTTGTATAATAAAACTACAAGTAACAGTGCCCAGAACAGAACATGTTTTTTAATCCTACAGGATTGTAGGATATCGGATATATTGCTCTGTGCAGATATATATCTCTGTCCTGAGACTCCACTGCTGCTGGGTGGGTTTGTCCCAGCTGTGACTCTGAGTCCCTGCTCTGCAATAAGCTATAACATTATCTTGACAGCATTTTCATAGTGTTCCCTTTCAGTATTGCAAATAGCAATTGCTAGCAACAGATTTTGAAATGCCTCTTAGCTTGGATCATGTGGGCACTCAAAGCAGTTTGGAGGAGAGATTAAATTCCTTTGGGGTCCAGGAAGTTAAGTGCCTGGAAAGCCAAGGAGATGAGGTCTAGTCTCTTGGCATATTGAGGAAATCAGAAGGTGCAAGTACCTCAGAGACTTGCACCTAATGCCCGTGCTGCTGACTGTCTAATTTAACTCTTCTGTGCCTCTGTTTTTTCAGTAAAACAGAGATGATTCGTGTAGTTCTCTTTTAGCAAGGGCCTGAGGATAAGGATTAAGAAGCCCTGCGTAAAGGCTAGCGCTGTAATGGGGCCAGCACTGTAACCTCATTCCAGTTAGCAACAGGTTGCTCTCTTTCCTTCCAGAAAGTTTTTCCTTCCTAATGCAGGGCACGTGTGGCTGGGCAATGCATAAATTGTGTGCTCATTACCAGGTCTCAGAGCAAAATTGCTCTGGGAAACAAATGCTGATAGTAAAAACAAAATCTGCTGCAGTTTCTCAGGGCGGGACGTGCGCTCACCCCAGAGCAGGATGTGGTTTACAAACTGCCTGAGCATGTGGGTGATCAGAGTCCCACGGAGCTGCTGGCCCCAGCGTACTCAGGATCTTCCTCTTGGTGGCAATTCAATGGACTCAGACTCTGTTTCTAAATCCCAAATTATGGACTAGACAAGTGGGAACAACAGCCAGGGGCCAGCCTGGGAAGGGAGGAGAGGCCAGACAACTCCCAGGTGTTCAGGCTAAGACCATGCATGTTTGGATCCCCCTGTGTTTGATGGGGCTGAGCGAACGTGGGTAAGGGGCAGGATGATATAATGGCAGGTCTGTGTGCTTGAGAAAGCAGGAGGGGTTTTCTGCATGTGGCTGGTCCATGGCAGTGCCTCACTGCAGTTCATTCCTCTCCCTGTTTATGCCAGCTCTTCGTGTGCCTCCACCTCCGGCTTCTGTGGTGGTGTACCATGCCATACCTGAATCACTCCAGCCCCTCGTCCTTCATCCTGACAGGCATCCCAGGTCTGGAGGTGGCTCACTTCTGGATTGCCTTCCCATTCTGCACTATGTACTTCATGGCAGTGCTGGGGAACATCACAGTTCTCCTGATGGTTATGATGGAACAGAATCTGCACCTGCCCATGTTTTACTTCCTCTCCATGCTGGCTGCCATTGACCTCGTGCTCACCACTTCCACCATGCCCAAGCTCCTCAGCATTTTCTGGTTTCACTCCCATGAGATTGTCTTTGAGAGCTGTGTGGTCCAGATGTTCTTCATCCATGGCTTCTCCGCAGTGGAGTCAGGAGTTCTGCTCGCCATGGCTTTTGACCGCTACTTGGCCATCTGCAGGCCCTTGCACTATTCTGCCATCCTGAGCAGCTCCACCATTGCCAAGCTGTTCTTGGCTGCTGTGGTGCGTGGTTTTGGCCTCATGACTCCTCTGACATGTATGGTGAGCAGCCTGTCCTACTGTGGTCCCCGTGTCATTGCCCACTCCTACTGCGAGCACATGTCCGTGGTGAAGCTAGCCTGTGGGGACACCCGACCCAACAACATCTATGGGATCACAGCTGCTACTGTCGTGGTGGGCTCAGACTCTATCCTCATCGCCATCTCCTACATGCTGATCCTGAGGGCGGTCATGGGCCTTTCCTCCAAAGAGGCTCGCCTGAAATCCTTCGGTACCTGCAGCTCCCACATCTGTGTCATCCTGCTCTTCTACACACCAGCTCTCTTCTCCTTCTATGCACAGCGCTGGGGCCAGAGCATCCCTGTGCACCTTCACATCCTCATGGCAGACCTCTACCTGCTGGTGCCTCCCATGCTCAACCCTCTCATCTATGGGATGAGGGCTGAGCCAATCCGGGAGCGGGTGCTGAACCTGATTGGGCAAAAAGGGTCTTGATTCCAACTGGTCACTAATGCCAGATAGGAAGGAATAGGGTTCAGACCAGACAGTAATAATAGCATGGTAGAAGGCCCTCTAAAAAAGCTGCTTCTTGGAAAATGGCAATGTTCTCTATACCATCTTGCTCCTGGAAGCAAGAGTTGCCACACAGAGCTCCACTGGCAAAACTTATTTCCAGCAATTTTCTGTTTGGAATGAAATGATAAATGGTGGCTAACTCCATGTCTTTGATTCTCCACAGGTTTATGTCTTCTTGTGACTCTCTCTGTTCATCACAGCTCTTCATAAAAGACTATAATCACCTTGGAAATTAAAGTCTATCATGGTTTCATCCTTCCACACATACCTTTTATGTCCACCCCATAACTCTCCGTGCACTGACTTGGTAGTTAGAAGCAACTGCTTGAAATTGGTGTCTGGCTATGAGGGTTAATGCACCTTTTATGTCCACCCCATAACTCTCCATGCATTGACTTGCTAGTTAGAAGCAACTGCTTGAATTGGCTATGAGGGGTGTGAGTTTGCTAATGTGTGTTATGTGTGCACATGTGCACACACATTTGTCCTGATGTTGGCCTTAAAGTTTTTCTTGTTGCTCTCCACCCTGCCTTGCAACTTTACATAAGCATTTTTGGCACTGACAAAAGCACACGTCATTTGAAAACAGGGTCTGTAAGTCACACTGAACCTTTGCAACTCTGCACAAGTTCTGTTCCTTTCTTATCAGAAACATCCAAGTGATACCACCTCTGAAATGTTCTTCTACAAAACTCTTTTCCAAAACTTTAATAGGACTCTTTAACTTTCTGTTTTGTTTTACCTTTCTTATCAGAAACATCCAAGTGATAACAAAACTTTAATAGGACTCTTTTACTTTCTGTTTTGTTTTACCTTAAATGTTGAGGTATGGGATTTGGGGAAGCGTCAACATTCTTTGTTTCCTCCGTTCCCCTTGAACTCTTCTGAGATCCTAGTCCCTTAGACACGGCACTTCAGCAAGCTGCTGTCTTCTTTGGAGGTCATTCTGTACATGCTGTTCTGCTGTGAGCATGACACATTGCTCCTTCCCCTGCACGTGATACTTACATGGGGGTTGTGTTAGGAAGAGCAGGATGGTTTGCAATGGGATACATAGTGCAGCTGAAAAGCGATTGTAACTATGATGAAAACTCACCTCCTAAAACCACCTGCTGACTACCAGTCCTTATACCTTCACCCATAGAAATCAGGGCATAGAAAATTCCCCGTGGCATTCTTGCCTTTCACCTGGAATAGTAACTGTAATAGGCAAATTCTGATCTAGCAGGAGAGCCTGAAAGGTCTGTGCAAGACTCACTAAGTCTAACAAGGCTGAGCTGAAGTTTAACCCACCAAGCCCTGAAGCCTCAGCAGTCAAGCGCAATCCTTGAGGGACATAATTCAAACCAAGGACAGGGAAACATCAGTGGAGTCATTGCAATAACATGACTTATTTCCCAGGCACCTTCCAGGGAAATGCCCTCTCCACGTCATGCAAGGGCTACTGAATCCCTCTTCCCTTACTTAGGTAATAATTATCACTTTAACAGATTTTTACCTGCCTCTGCTTTGTGAAGCAGCAGGCTATACATAGAAATGCAGCATGGGCAGCCAGACATGATTTGGGTCCTGGTGCACTGGAAAAGCTGCTGACCAATTAAAACCTGAAGGTATCTCTATCCAGGTGGCCTCTTTAGTAAAGTTTTACAAACTTTCTGTAAAATACTTTCCTGATGAGATTTCCAGTTCTGCCGAGGAGGGAAGGACTTGAGACTCAGAGGGAAGTGTAAGATCCTACATGCAGCCTGCACAGACCTACAGAGTAAAAGGGAGGGTTGCAAAAAGGGGAGGGTCCAGTCATTTCTCTGAAGAATTCTTTATCCTGTACCATGTAAAATAACATTAGAGAGTCCTGCCTTGTATGCTTATCAGGCCATAACCCATGTCCCATCAGCACAGCCTGCCCTGTGTTCTCATTAAACTCCATTTCTAACTGCTTTCCCAGGTGAGAAGCTATCTGTTCCATGTGCACACGTGTGGGAGTCTGAGTGTCACCTGCTGCACTGGGACCACAGGTCACAGGGGCTGGTGAACCTGGGCTGTTGACATTGGAGAGTGTGGAGTCCAGCCCACAAACAAGGTTAGTAGTTTGGGAGCTAGGTACTGGAGCAGCCCTAAGTCTGAGCTTGGTCTTGGAGAGACCAGAGGGTCCGAGGTTGGCTACTAGTAAGGCCAATGGTCTTGCCTTGGACATACCAAGACTTCCTGATCTGCCACTGAGATAGAGAAGGAACTTGAATTAATACTAAAACAACCTAAACCTAGGAGCTTCTTAATGGCAAGATCCCTACCTATCGTGTAAGAATGCATCCCTCTGATCCTACCTGACCTGGCAGCCTGGAGACATTTGCTCCATGCAAAAGGGGATGGTGCCACTTGAAGTATCTGGAAAGGCCTGGAAACCATCCGATACCATGAGGTCTCTGCAGGCTGAGGGACTGGGTGTATTTGTGACTGACTAGGCTTGTCCAGGTGTAAAGAGATGGTACCCTGGAGGAAGGAGAGGGCAGGAAGAAAAGATCCGCAACAGTACAAGACTAGGGCTAACAAGGGGATGCGCTGCTTGGGGTCCAGATGGACCTGAATGATGAATAGTAGAAAGGTCCTGTTCTGTGCAGAATTTCAGCCATTGCTCATAGGGGCTACTTTGAGGTAGAAGAGTGAAGCTTTCCAAATTTCATGGCTGAGGCTCTCATTCTGCCTCGGGTCTGTTCCTCCTGGGCTGTACTTGGGGCTGGATGCCCTCCCAGGCTATCCAAGGGAGATAGCCGGCTGAAACGGAGCTCCTGGGATAACGCAGCTCACCAGGAACCTCCAGCAAGATGAGGATAATGTGAAGGGTGCATCTCAGTGCTGAGACATGTTATTCCACAACAACACCATTCACAGAGTCTAGGACAGGACACAGGAATGGGGGTCAAAGTGCTTCCAGGGACTGCTCCTGCACAGCAAAATCCCTGCAAGTGGATTCAGCTGGACAGAGCATGGATGTAATCTCTCTCAACCTTCCCATCAGTACCATATTTACACAACTCTACACAACATATGCAATGAAATAATTGGGTGTCCTTGTTTTGTATGGGATAGTATGACTTTGTATGAGTAATAAGAGAAGAAGGAAGACATCAACATGCTGATGGAGAGCTAAGGAAAGATGCTGAAGCTGCCTTGAAAATTACTGCCTCTTCGCACAACAGACAATACAGTCTGTGTCCCCCATCTGCCATCTCTCCAGGGATTCCCAGAAGGAAGATTAAGTGCTCCAGCATCTCTGCGCTTTGTTATTCACACACAAGGCAGCCCTGCAGATGAGGCAGACACCTGTTCTCAATCTTCTCAGCTGCCTGGGATCAGAAGTTTTTCACTTGGGCTGAAAAGCCCTGCTGTGCTGCTCTTCCATCTCCCAGCCCAAGTTCTGGCTGGGGTCAGGATTCCCCAATGCTGCCACAATGCTGATAATGATATGGAAACAATTTTTTGATTGTGCCAGGCTGTTGGGGCAGAGCTTCTGGAAGCAGAAATATTCTCCACTTCAATGTGGGCACCTGGTGACTCAGCTCTGGATTCAGACACTTACTTACTTGTAGGTGCCTGCAGGTAGGTGCCCGGTGTGCTTATGTGCATGAGCTGTAAGTATCAATGACCACAGTCAGAGGGGATGGAGCCCATGTGGTCAGCAGACCTTTCAGAGCAGATTAGCTCATCCTAAGGTGAGGTCCTTTCTAGGCTTCATGGGCAGCGCTCTCTTTGCAGCAGGAGCTTGGACCCTTGGTGTACATCTGTTGCACCTTATTTGGATGTCTAAAGACATCTGAGAAGCCCTTAAGCATACACATGGCAGAGGCAAACTGTCACCCAAGTCTGCTGGAGAAGGAGCAGGAGCACAGAGATGGACACACTGGGCATCTCCAATGGCTCTAGGTACCTCTACTCAGGCAGCTGAACCATCCCCTGGGTTTGTGTGGAGACACCTTCATGTAGATGTTCAGAGGTAGGTGGCTTGAATGGGAGCTTGCAGCATCCCAGGGTTCACAGCTCTGTTCTGCAAGAGGGCTGGTCTGCAAGGCTGCTCCTTGCCCCTGCAAGTGGCCTCTGCTCTGGAACATGTGTCAGTGGGATATCATGGCACGGGTCAGCCTCGCTGCTCTGTGCAAATGCGGAGTCACATCCAACTCCCGTAGCTGATAGTTACTAGGATGGAGAATGCAATATTTAAAAAAAAATGGGGAGGGGGGATTCTAAAATTTGCTTGTCTTCAAAATGTCCTAATTCATAGTCTTTTAGGCCAGAAGGTGAGCATTTCTGTTCAGACTTTTGATCCAGCAGCTCCCCAAGAATCCCATGCCCAGGGTTAAGCCACAGCTGAAATAGGATTAATCAGTGAAAGTCTGCTCTCTATTTTAAAACTTCAAGTGCTCTGTTTCCTTAATTATTTGCCTCATAGTATCTACTTCATTACTATTCTGAACTTGTCTAGCTTTTGCTTCTCATTTGTATGACACTGACCATGCCTAATGCTAATTTTTAGCTGGGCTGCACACATTAATTTTATTCTGCCTCGTCACAAGCATGAGTATTTTTCACTCACGGGCCATTCCAAGGCTTGCTGCATGCTAAAAAGATATTGATGGAGATCATCCAAGCCATTTCTCTTAATGAAGAGGGGTCTGGGGCTGTTAGTACTTTCCTGCTCTTTGTAGTTTTGTGGTGGGGGAGGCAGTAGAAGCAGCTTCCCAGTCGCAATGTTGAGTCAAAAGCAGTAATTTTTATTCACAAATGAATATGTAGCTCCTATCCACAATACTCACTCTTCTCCTTCTTGTCTCCTCAGGATTTTTATCTGGCATTTTTGCATTACTTCGAGCTTCTCCAGCCAGAATAAAATATCAGAAATGAATCTTTTCCCCTTGCTATTGCCTAATTTTGTAGGCTTTTCTCACGGGTGAATGACTGAATGAAGACAGCATAGAAGAAAACACTTTTCATGGTCGCCTTGATGTCCCAAGCCATGTTCCAAGATTTAACTTCTACCTCACAAATTTGGAAGAACTTCCTGTCTTGACCCTATGTCTTCCATGTCAAGGAAGGCAAGAGAACCAAGTCAAAAGCTCTGTCTGTGGGAAATTTAATTCCAAACCACTGACCATTTACCCTCCTTTTACAGCTTATCTTAAGATGTTGAGTGGTGGTGTGTAACTGATAAAGAAACAAGCCTTTAGCGAGCAGTGTGTTGTTTAAAGTACATTGGTCATCTCAGATGGCACAATTGTAAATATGAACTTCCTCTTTGCCTTATAGTAACTTGCAAGCCACAAAAGTACCATTTACTTTGCATTTCTGATCCAATCCCCTTCCCTCTTCCCTCATCCAGATGTGTTATGCTGTAGAGCTCCTATCTCACAAATCATGATACTGTGGATTCCTGCTTTGGCTCATGAGTTGCTTCAGTGTTCCTGCATTATCACTCTTAGTTCTGAACATCTTAAGGCTTTTATACTGGTAGATTTTCCCTTTTTCTAAGAGGAAGGGCAGGGAAAAAAAAAATGGCAAGACTCTCCTACATGGCTTCAGATTCTTTCCACTACCCCAATAGCAGCTCTTCCTCTTTCATCCTTGTAGGTGTTCCTGGCCTGGAAGCTTCCCACACCTGGCTGGGCATCCTTTTCTGTTTAGGGTATATCATGGCCTTGGTAGGAAATGGTATGGTTTTGCTTGTCATCAGGCTGGATGACTCACTGCGTAACCCCATGCATTGCTTCCTGGCCATGCTAGCAGTCACTGATTTGGTGATGGTGACATCCACTGTCCCCAAGATGCTGAGCATATTCTGGTTGAACTCTACTGAGACCAGTTACATGGCTTGTTTCGTTCAGATGTTCCTTGTTCATTCTACCACATCGGAGGAGTCAGGAGTGCTCCTGGCCATGGCCTTTGACCGCTACATTGCAATCTCTCAGCCTCTCAAGTACGAAGCTATCTTGACTCACCAGACAGTGGCCAAAATAGGCCTGGCCATCGTGGGAAGAGCTCTCCTCTTCATCGTTCCCTTGACATGGATGGTGACAAATCTGTCTTTCTGCAATTCCAGGGTGGTTCCCCACTCCTACTGTGAGCACATGGCCGTGGCAAAGCTGGCATGTACGGACCCCAGGTCCATCAGCCTTTACAGCACAACTCTATCATCCCTTATAGTAGGCATGGACGTGGCTTTCATTGCTTTGTCTTATGGTATGATCATTAAAGCTGTCCTGGGCAAGAAATCACACAGGAAGGCCTTCAGCACTTGTGGGTGTCACATCTGCGTGATGCTGCTGTATTACATCCCTGGCATAGTCTCCGTGTACATACAGGCATTTGACAGAAGTGTCCCTGCATGGGCACAGGTTCTCCTGGCCGATGTCTACCTGACCCTCCCCACCATGCTGAACCCCATCATTTACAGCATGAGGATCAAGCAGATCCGTCGGGCAGTGCTGAAAGTGTTGTTTTCCAATAGGGTTCACACCTGACAATAATTATCAGTTTTCCAGGCGCAGTCATCAATGGGAAGACACCAATTTCATTCCCACTGGATGTACTCGGGGTACAGAGCCCTAGAAGGAAAGAGGACTCACTTTAATGACCACATCAGAGCCTGCTCTGTGACAAGAGGCATTTGGGACAGGGTAAATATGTGGGTCACATTTCCCATTCTCTTTTTCCAAGTAATACAGAAAAGTGAGCTGCTGTGGTTGAGTTTTGAGATGTTCCCAATACCATGAATGTTCCTGTGATAATTTAAATCAGCAGTTTAGGGTTTCATGTATTTTTATGTGAATAAACAGGCTCTGTTTGGAATGGGTTCTTTTTCCTATGTTGTCTTTTTTTATGAGGCTAGTAGTGGAGGATTGTCACACATTGCAGGTCCTCTAGCTACGCAGAGGCCTCTCTTGCACAGAGAGCTGGCCCTTCTCTCAGCACAGACCAGCTTTCCCAGGTTGGTGGGTGATGACAGGAACTGAGCATTCAGTAGGCAATTTGATCATCTAAAAAAGCACACCAGTGAGTCGCTCAAAGCAGGAAAATGGTCTTTGTACAGATATTTTGCAGAGTACTGGGAACAGTTGGACAGAGATGTCCACAGCCTGGAGGAACAGTCACAAGCAGATGATTGATGATGGGGTGAGAATGTGCTGAACTCTTTAAAGGACTTTGTCAATCTGACAGATCAACAGATCTCACAAGCTGGGCGAGGAAAATGGAAGTGAGATGCGTGCTCCATGTCTCAGTACCACCTAGTAGTGAACAGTTTGGG